GGGAAAGAGGAAATGGCAGAAATATACATTACAAAAAGGATATCAGATTAGACAAGGAGAAACAAAGAGAGCAGTAGAGCTGAAGATGAGACAGACATTGGAAGGAGGACACAGTAAAAAGCTGACAAGGCTGGAGAAGGGCCTCAGGAGGCAGAAGAACAGTATCTCATTTCCCTCACTGCTTGTCTTGGCTTTCCAGCCAGGTAGAAAATACTTGAAACCAGGAAGATGGTATTTCCCGACAAGCTGGGTACAACCTGGCTTCCCTTAATTCTCTTCAGTCCTTGGAGAACTGCTGCCTGCCAGCAACGAGGGGCACCAATGCCTGCGTGCAGTGTGGAGGGAGAGGCCATTCCTCACTCAGATCTGCTCACACTTGGCAGAGATTTTACTGACCCCTTCTTCAAATGAGCAGACAAGCACAGGAGCTGTAGGGCTACGTGTTCCTCTATAGAGACGCACTCCTCTGCAGTGATGGAGGCAGGACAGGCATGGAGTAACCCTGCCTTGAGGCAGTGGCTGCAGCAGAAGCAAGAGGTGGAGGGTTTCAGCTGGTGCTCCCACAGGAGCCTCACTCTGCGGAGGCAGTCAGGGACAGGGCACAGTGTCACAGAGACAGAAAGGGAAGCAGAGAAGAGCTGGGTAGCCCAAGGAGTTAAAGAAGGTAAAACCAAACAAGTAGGAGTGGTAGGAAAGAGAACTAAGAAGTGCAAAACAATAAGTTAATACGAAACAAGATTCTCTCTCATCCCTGGACCATGGTGCCAAACATACAACTTGACTGCTCCAGGCTCAGATACAGCTTTGAGTGGACCACGAACTTTAAGATACACAATAATACACAATCAAAGCTACGGCAGTAGTTTCACTTACGCTTGCATAGTTGTAGTAGCAGTTTGAAAACTGAAGAGGTTCTCCTTTGGGAACCAGGTTCGTATGGGGACATCGTCTGGAAGAGAGAGAGCAAAACCTGAGGATCCAGCAGGAGAGACCTCGTTCAGACAGCAAGACTTGCAGAGCTCTGTCTCATAGTACTTCTCTTCAGCATCCTGCCCTGTACTGAACAGGAGTCTCATCCTCCTCATATGTATCACACTCACCTCACACTACACCAAGTGTTTTGTAAGTTTGTGCTATGCCTCCCTATTAAGGTACTACATGAAGAATGAAAGCTCCATCCTAAGCGTGGAAGATTAAAATAATCCAGAAATTAGGGAAAAGACATTTAAACAAGAAAAAAAAAACAAACAGGAAAACCAGTTTTCATTAAAAGCATTTTCCAGCCTCTGCCTTTTCCTTAGTCCTTGTTTGCAATGTCCCACTCATCCAGTTCTATCTGACACAGCCTCCCACGGAAGATGAAAAGCACCCACCTCCTCTCTTCTGAGCTGTAGGCCTGAGCTATGCTCTCTTTCTCCACCACTGAAGTGTCAATAAAACCCCTCACACGCCTGCTCCTGATGACCTGGCCTTCATGAGCTTTTCTGGTTTTAGAAGTAAAACTGCCCATCAGCTATACAACTTGCAGAAAACACTGGGTTATTTGGTCTCCTGCGTTTGTAAACTGCCCTGCCTGAACCAACTGTGGATTAATTCCCAATTCCATTGCATGAGGACACTGCATCTTCATGTAATGACCGCTACGCCAAAAACCAGGCAGTAAAATAAGTCACTAATTAAGTGTGTGGGATGGTGGCGACCAAAAGGAGGAATCTGACCAAGAAGCAGCTCCTGCTGAGAACTCCCTGGCTGAAGTCGGTCAGGAAGGGAATCAGAGCTGTGTTAATCCACTGACACAAGACATGCGAGATCTCGGTGAATTGGATCCCTGGGATTTGGGGCTGCCTGATTTTTCATCGTGCTTCACTCCCGATTTGTGGCTTTCTTGCTTATTGCCTTGCTGATGATGCGCCTTGCTACGCTCATTCAAGTTTTAAAATCATTAGCAACTACAGTATCTTAGTCATTAATATTCTGGCACTGTCAAGAGTATTTTTTTTAATTCACTTTCACTGGCCAAAACCCAATCAAACCCCGCATGCACACTGCAGACATCGTCACTACAGATCAGATACCTCACCAAAGGTTTTGTACAGATCATCATCCACTACAGACTGATCCTGCTGCTCCCTGAAAGCACAAAAAAGCAGCTGCAATTACAGATGCAAAAACCGCTAAATGCAACTGGGGAGGCTTCCTTTGAAGCGAAGCGCCCAAGAAAGCAGACAGAAAGCTGTACCACGCTCCTTCTCAGCCAACAGTTTATGTCGAGCCTTGTATAAAGGCACCCGAAGGAAATTTGTATGTTAAATGAAAACTGCATTCTAGTATGCTAAATACTTATGATGAAGTTCCTATGTCTGCTCTCCTCCAAAGAAACAGATAGAGAAGAAATGCAGAACAGCTCAAAGACTGTAAATGAATTACTTGTCTGACGTCTCGAACCCACAAACGTGGTGAAGAAGTTGTTTGTACAGCTCCTTTTTAGCCAGCAATTCTGTACAGACTCCTCAGGGACTACGCATCTCAAAGGACTGACAATCTCTTAATACATTTTACAGCTTCTAAGCCCCTAGCTTTAGTTCAAAGCAGGGCTTATGAACAACAGCGAATATCCTTATGAGGCTTTGCTTGGACAGCTGCTGGAAGCCTCCCCTCCTTGTCTGATAGGCGGGAGTCAACAGAGAAAGATGTCACTTCTGTACCCACAGCATCCAATGGAAAATAAAGCATCCGTGACCCTTCAGGGGTGCCTCTCTACCAGCCAGGAGCAGAGCAGTAGCAGAGAAGCACACAGCTGTGGACTAGGGAGCAGAATCAGCTCCAGAGCTCATCCAACTGATTAAAACTCAGATTATGAGTGTTCTGCAGGAGCAGGTAGCGTGCTCCTTTCTGGCATCTTGTTCTCCTTTCTTGTTACCACCAACTATGATGACACGGTCAAGGAACCATGGGCCTGGGCAAGACTGGAGGAACACCACCACCATGGTCAGCATCTCCAGTGGCATCTTCACCTCCCAGACTGCACAAAAATCTCAGCTCCTCTGTCCATGAGTGGATATGTTTGTATCAGATGCTGGGAGACAACAGCTTGTGCTTCTCTGCTATGCTGTTAAGCATCATCAACTCAGCATAAAAATCCATATTGAATTATGCCAATCTGGCCTAACTGCCACGAGTGCTGGCGTGCAGCAGTAACGTGTTGTGTAAACCCAAACAGAGAAAGCAGCACTGCGAAGTGAACCTGTGGGGAAATGAGTCTGTCTCTCTCACCTCCATTCATCTCTGCTCGCCACGCACGAAGGACATTCCAAAAAATACTCCTGGCAACCTGTGACAGTGGTGCCGTTCGATCCTCAGTTTTACTCTGAGTAACGGCGCTTGGATAGAGAGCACAAGCGAGACCAAGCTGAGAAAACTTTGACTCATGATGCCAGCGCTGGGATGGGATTTGGGCTCTGAGGCCCAGCGCTGCCTGTGCAGCCACACGTGCAAGCACTCAGGAGCTGGAGACAAGCACTGAGGGCAGCTGCTGCCTGCTTGTATGAAACATGAAATACCCATGGGGCATCTACAGGTTCAGAGCCGTCCACGTTGTTCCCATCTCCCATTACTCCGATATATTCTCAGAAAGGCAAATGTCCATTTCACACCGATAACCAGCCCTAACCAAAACTGCTGCCTAGTTGAAAACGCGTATTACAAATCCCATGGCCCATAAATGGCATCTCTCTATAGCATTTGCTAGGACACTTTACAGAGGTGTCCAGCTCCAGATATGAGGAATTAAACTCCTTCATTAGCTACTGGGAGCTTTCCTTTGGTTCTGTATCAAGTAACCTGCTTCAGTCCCACAGTGCAGAGCACAATTTTGTGATGATCAGGAAAGCTTCCACCATCAATCCATCCGCATTGGAACAGGAAATCTTCACTTTCTTAACAGAGTGCACATCATGAGGCTGCAACCGATTCAAGTCAGCACCCTGATCTCCACTAGACCAAGTCCCTGGGGTTGGTGATGTCCTTTCCTGAAAGGCTGGGACTGGAATGGCATTATTTTTCTGTCTTCACCCAAGCTCTCTGGCTGTGTCGTCACATGCAGAGCCACCTTTCGGCAGGTAAAACACGTATGATTATAAGACAATAAAAGGAAAACTCTTCTCACTCCTCTTCTTGGACTGAAGCAATAAAAATAACAGAAGTCTGAATTTGCACGTGTAAGTGCAAGTAGTGTGTGGTGTGAAGCGCAAAAATCACAGGGAGCAGAGAAACAATGCTTAGAAATGATACACAGGAATTAGTGGGACTGCAGGTGTTCTGCACACTTGACAATCAATTATTTTCTAATCCTTATTCTTTAGTGTTAGTCCACGTGTTAATTTTGCCACAGAATTTCAAGCATCTAAGCATGAAAATACGATCCAGAACCCAACCTTTCTGTGATTTTAGCTGCAGTAAATATGATGATGATATTTACTAGAAAACTATGAGCTCAGGAAAGACGTACAGTTTGCTCTCCACAGTCCTTATACTCAATTTATTTTCAAGGAGAAAACTTTGACCATTCCTGGCTGGACACTCTGCTCCAAAATACAAATTTTACAAAAAAATAATCAGACAAATCAGGTCAGACTCCTTGCCAGCCACACAGAGAGCTGACAGGCAAGGATGGACTGCGTACTAGCTTATAATTCAAAGCACAAAGATTGTGACATGCATTTGATTAATAGTTACGTTTTTAAAGACAATCAGCAATTTTTTTAATGTAATTTTATAATTACAAGCCCTATTCCCTGAAAATACTGAGCAAATGGATAAGGAGTGGGGAATGATGTCCAATATTGTGTTATTTGCTAGTGTTGATGGAAAGACACTGAGGTGGCACTACGTGAGGGACACTGCTGAACTGCTTCCAGCCATGCAGACAAGAATTTTGGGGGGATGCATGGCAGCAAAACCACCATGCTGTGATGGTGGTTATAAATTTGGAAAGGATGAGTGTCAGGAGGAAGGAGCCAGGCTCTGCTCTAGGATGGCCAATGCCAGGACAAGGGGCAATGGTCCCAAGCTGGAGCACAGGAGGTTCAAGCTGAAGATGAGGCCAAACTTTGTGAGTGTGAGGGTTATGGAGCATGGCCCAGGCTGCCCAGAGAGGTTGTGGAGTCTCCTTGTGTGGAGACACCCAAAGCCCTGGCCGTGTTCCTGTGTGACTGCTCTGGTGATCCTGCTGTGGCAGGGGTTGCACTGGGGGAGCTTTCCAGGTCCCTTCCAACTCCTGACATTCTGTGATGAGATGGGTGTCACCCTTCACCCCTGTGTCAATGAGTCCCTTCTTGTCCTTGCAGCACCCCCCTCACTTACCAGACACCCGGTCGACACTGTACATCCTCTCCAGCCTTTTCCTGTGCCACCCGGTCTCGCCGGATTGATGGTGCTCCAGGTCAAAGGAATTCTGGGAAGGGGCCGCCAGCCGGGCACAGTTTGGGCACTCCTTGGAGCTCTGCCGGCTGCCAGGCCAGCCCTTGCAGTGCCTGCCGACGCCGTGAGAGCCGCCGGCGCCGTGCATGTGATGGCCGTGGTGGCACTCCTCTGGGGCAGCCCCCTTCATCACCACCAGCTCCATGCTTTCGTTCTCGTGGTCCGACAGCATCGGCCTCTCGCCGGAGATGGTGTAGACCCGCGGTTTGGGGCCCTCGCTTGGCATCTTCTCTGCCTGCTCCTCGGAGAAGCTCCTCTCAAACTTGCCGTCCGAGATGACCGAGAGCCTGCGCTTGTTCTGTGCCGCCTGCTGCATCTCAGGGGAATCCTCCTGTCCGATGTAGGAGTCTGCTAACAGGTGATCTGAAACAAATGGCACACGGTCCTTAAAACCAAAGCACCCCGGACACCAACAACTTGAGGCGGCTCTTTGTAACTGCTGCAGAAAGGGAAAGGGGAAAAGAGATGTGGTAGGGTCCCACAGGAACCTTTTCAGATGAACGTGTGCCTATAGCCTTCTAAACCCCCAAAGTTGGTACTGAAATGAGGACATTTCTCACAAATATGCCCAATATTGGAAGCATGTGTGGCCACCAAACAAGGCTTAGGGGCAAATGCAGGTCTCACTGCACAGCCTGAAAATGCTCCTCGAATCCTGTGTTCAGTTTTGGGCCCCTCACTCCAAGAGGGACATTGAGAGGCTGGAGCGTGTCCAGAGAAGGGCAATGGAGGTGGTGAAGGGTCTGGAGCACACGAATGAGGAAGAGTGGCTGAGGGAGCTGGGGTTGTTTAGTCTGGAGGAGAGTGAGGGGAGACCTTATCGCTCTCGACAACTGCCTGAAAGTAGTAACAAGTGATAGGATGAGAGAAAGTGGCCTCAAGTTGCACCAGGGGAGGTTTAGATTGGATATTAGGAAAAACGTCTTTTCTGAAAGTGGTCAAACACTGGAGGGGGCTGCCCAGGGAGGTGGTGGAGTCCCCATCCCTGGAGGTGTTCAAGAAGCGCGTGGATGTGGCACTTCAGGACGTGGTTTAGTGGGCATGGTGGGGTTGGGTTGACAGTTGGACTTGATGATTTTGCAGGTCTCTTCCAACCTTAATAATTCTGTGATTCTGTGAAAACAGCCCTTGTTCATCTGCATGGTCCTGGCTGCTTCAGCGGGTTTAGCCACGCAAGGGCTGCTGAGCTGAGGAAAGCTTGCAGGACAAGGACCAGCCCCAACTTCCCTAAGAACTGACAAACTCTGAGTGCGTGATGCACCAAGTTTTATTATTTTAGAACTAAGGGAAGGGGACAAACCACCAGGGTTTGATTCCCTCCCCTCCGACTTTCTGCCAATTGGTTTGACATGAAAGAAATGCAAAAAGCCTTCAGCCAGCAGCTTCACCGCAGCGTCCTGCTCCCTGCGGCACCCCTGGGCAGCAGCCCCCTCGTGTGTGCAGATGGCCAGGGCACAGCCTGCGGAAGCTGCCCTGAAGGAAAAGGCAGCCGCCCCCTTTGTAGGGTAGGAAGACCGAAAGGCGAGAGGCCCATGAGTGCAACTATCTTTGGAGCCCACACGCTGGATGAAGTGCCAGGAAATCGCAGCATTTCCATGGCAATTCCATGCATGAACCCAACAGTAGCTCCCACCCACCTGCTAATCCTTTTTTCAAGTGGCTGTTAATTACCTCTTACACTTCCCTTCAGATGGGAAGCAGCCAGGGGACTGTTAAAAAGGCTCAGCATGGAATACATTATTCGTGTGACTACTACTCCAGAAAAAGTAAAATTATTAGTGTCCAGCACAGACAGCAGCATTTTAAAGAGGCAGAAAGCAAACCCAGGCCTTTACTGCACCAGACATTTAATGAACATCTTTCCTTTAGCTACTGAGCCACAACCTGGAAGAACTCAGCAACAACCTGAGACTTGGCTACCTTGTAGTTGGCCATGAAGAGATGGAGGAAGAAGAGACCCATCTCAGGACAAGTCTATAGCTGATGCTGTCTTTCCAGACTTCACATGGAGTCCAAAATACATGCCTAGGTGTAGTGAGGAGTCATGCACCTCACTGATAGTGTCCAGGTGAATTATAAACGATGGGCAGTGGTCTACTTCACCCATGGTCTCCTGCACTGAGACTGCATGGACATCTGCACCCCCTCCAGGAAGAGCCTGATGGACCACAGGGGCCATCAGCAGAACAAATTCACAGAATCACAGAACCACAGAATCACAGAACGCCAGGGATTGGAAGGGACCTCAAAAGCTCATCCAGTCCAATCCCCCTGCCGGAGCAGGAACACCCAGATGAGGTTGCACAGGAAGGCGTCCAGGCGCTCCCCCAGCTGCCATTCAACAGCTGGTCCACAGAGCCCTACCAGCTGCAGGACACAGCATCACGGACCAACCTGTGCTGAAAGCGTTCACAGGCTCCACAGCCTCTCCATCACCTCTCAAGAGGCAGAAGGCCACCGCATTTGTTCTTCAGCAACTCAGACCCTCTCCAGTGCCAAGACTGTGCTCTAGAGTGGGCATTTCTTGGGAAAACACCATCAAATGACTCTTCAAGATGTGTGCTGGCTAACAGTGCCAAGCAGACCATTTTTTAAATTAAAAACAAGGGCCAGCTCTAAGTACTCGTCTCAACTTGTCAAAATTACTAATCTGTGTGGGCACAGTGACACTACACATTTCTTAAGACACCACAGAATAGTGGCTGACAGCTGCCCCTGTGCCTCCTGAAATGAATACTCCTGTGGAAGACGTGTGGAGCACACACAGGGGACTGTGCACCTTTACCCACACAATTCAGAGCCCCAAGCATTTCCGAGCTGTGGTATCTGTGGGTAAACGGAAAAACAAGTGCCCAAAGCACAGTATGTCTGAAAATGATGATGATCACAAGTACAGAGAGACCAATTCCAGCCTCTGCTTTACAAGCACTGAGGTCTGTTCAGCCCATAAAATCTACAGACATGTAAGTGCGACGTGACTGGCTTCAAGTAAGAGTCAACTTTTTACTGAAATCATGGCAGGGTTACAATCCTTGACTGGATATATTTGACATAAACTACCTGATTGATCTAGCATGCAAAATGCGAGGATAATCCTTTCTTCCTACCTTCCTCATCCCTAACTCAAGGCATTTTCTCTAGGAGTTTTCACAGTCTACACTACAAAGGCCTGTCAGCAACCAATATGCTTTCTCTTTGTCAAACAACTGGATAGTAATTTTTATAATAATAAATATATATATATAAAATAATAATAATAAAATTTCTTTTCATTCAATTTAGCACCTTCAGTAACTACACACTGGAGAACCAGCTTCACATGCAAAGGGAATGTGAAGCTTTTTTCAAGACTTCTTGTTAGGAAAATTTATCTACAGAAAAAAATTAGTATGGAAAGAAAAAGAGATTCAAACGTCCATCATAATGAATTATTGGCTTCTAAAAACAAACCCACACCATTTCAGGGAGCAAGTCTGCGCTGGCATTCACACACACGTGTGTGTTCATGTACACCAGCAGCCCAGAGACGTTACCAGTGACTGGTTCTGTGCTTGCAGTGAACTGGATTCAGGCGCCAAAGCACTGCATCTGCTTCTACCGTGGCATCTGAGGGTAACACTTTGCTTCTGCTAGGAAAGAAGTCAAGCTGGCCCAGAAATCAATGCTGAATTACATCTGAGCCACGGGGATATTCAGTGATGAGAACTGAGGAACAGCAACGGGGCACATCAGCAGCAGCTGGAACTGCCTTCCAAAGCAGCAGACGCTGCTGCAGCCTCTGCCTGGTTACTGCTGCTCCCTTTCATTTCATTTTCACTTTGCTCTCCCACCTCTCCCACCCCAGCTGCTCCATCACGCTGCCACACCAGCCCAGGCCAGCAGGACTGGGAAGCCTGGCACAGTGCTCTCCTCTGCAGCCACCTGGGTGGAGCTGACCTGGTAACAGCTCTGCTTTCCCACCCGCTTTCACCAGTGACCCCTTTGTCCCCCACAGCTGCAAAGCCACCTTGGAGCAGACAAATCAGGGTCCACAAAGGGATTTCTGCCCAACCAGGTTTGTGCTCTGCATGGATTTATTGTGGCTGAGATACTTTACAGCAAGAAGAAGGGAAGAGGACCAATACACTTGATCTGTAGATCCAGCTCCTCTTAAGCTTCTCTCTATTTCTTTCTCCACCTTCACACAGCACTGCCCAACGCAGTTGTCAGGGCACAAGTACCACCAAGGATGTGAATACCAACCGCAACGCTAATCTGTACTAATTTGTGGTATCTTGGGAAAGAAAGTATCCCCACTCTCGATACACGTAATTCCTGATCATTAGGCACTTTCTACCATTAGACACTTAGAATACATCCTTTCTCACTCCCTAACTCTAACTTGAGCACTTGCTGTGACCCGTGTAAGTAACTGTGAAAGGACTTTTCACATTTTCTTTGGCTGTCACAACGTTTCTGGCTGGGATGAGCCTCAGCTGACTGATGCCCATTCGCAAGAGTGGAGGGACTCACAGAGCCAAACTCATATCAAATGCAGACTGCCTTGTAACCCCATGGGGCAAGAAGTTTATAAATCAAGGCAGAATACAGCCACAGGGCATTGACAGAAGCCTACAAAAAAGGGCTCGAATTTATGACTGTATTTAGCAGCCAAAGCGATGATTAAAGCACCTTAGATTTAAAACCTCAGCTCTGGCATCAGAAGCAAAGTGGCAAAGGGGAATCCAGATAAACCCTCTTAAAAACCCACCTGTCACCTCAGAAAAATAAATTTCAGAGGAAGAGGTCTCTCTTCCCTGCTCCCCCTCAGGAGGACCTGATGTTTATGGTACAACTTCAAATGAGGAACTGTCTTGGCTTCTGAAGATGAATGGAAAGACTTCAGGTTTACAGTATATGGACTCGTAGTATTATTTGTAGTAGGAAGAATTAAGTTAATGCTCTTTTTATTTTACACCAGTAGGAGTCCAGGTGATACCTTCAATGAGGAGAGCGGACGGGGGCACTGCAAAACCAGGACCACCTTTTCAAACAACACAGCTGAGCTGTTTCTCCTGCAGTTCCAGTCCTGAGGAGTCCCATTGCCTGCCACTGCTCCTCAGGGGCGCTGAGGCTGTCAGGTCCTGTCCTCCCCTGCTCCCTCTCCGAGCGTGCATCGGAGCCACAGTGCAAAGCTCCCCACCACATCAGCTCTGTCCTTCCCATTGCCAGCGTGCCGCAGCGTCACCCCAGCAGCACAGGGCTCCTGTCTCCAGAGACAGGCTGGCAGTCAGCCTCGCTGCTCTGCAGGGCTGAAACGCAGGCAAGAAACAGGCATGGTAAAACCCAGGAAATCTGTTCCAAATATTGAAGCGTGGGGTAGG